GTCAGGGGGTGCCACCCTGCCGGCACCAGCCTTCGGGATGGCCTCACCCCAGCAAACACCTCGGCAGGGCGGTTGGAGCCCGAGCAGCCAGGGCAGATGAATCCCATGAGACGTCTGTTGATCTGCCCAGCCTAAGAGGTGTGGGCAGGTCCCGCGGGCAGCCCCAGCATGAAGGATTCATGTGGGATGCAGAGTGCCTGGGAGATCTGCAGCCAGCCCTGTCCCCTGCCGGGCTCTGCACAGCCTGGGTCTGGGCCCCCCAGGACACACGGGGAGATGCCAGTCTGATGCCTCCAGCCCTGCCTGGTCATCAGGAGACCCAGGAAAATCCTCCTTGATGTTGATCTGCTTCCCAAATTCTCCAGCAGCTCTGGCCTCGGCACCCTGCACCATCGCCCCGCAGTTGCTTTCTTGGCCACAAATATTTCAGCTCTGCAGAAAGCCAGGAGATGCCCCACCTTGGTGGAGAGGGCTCGTGGCGGAGATGTCCCTTTCTTCTCCCCGCAGATGTACGGGAAGTGGTACGATGTCGCCATCGGCACGACCTGCAAATGGATGAAGAACTACAAGGAGAAGTTTAGCATGGGTACACTGGTGCTGGGCCCCGGCCCCAGTGCCGACCAGATCAGCACTGCCAGCACCAGGCTGCGGTATGGGGCACTGACGCGGGTGCTCGAGCCTCCCCCCAAAGCCACCCCACCCAGGGGCGCTGCATCTCGCAGGGGCTGGGACAAGACATGGGGGTTGCTTGCTCTGGCTGGCATCAGAACCCTGAGGAGGGGCTGGATCAGGCTCAGATACCCAATGCCTTGGGCAGGGGGATTTCAGAGGTCCTGTGCCATGGCCTTGGTGCCCCAGACAAGATTTTTGTGCAATAACCAGGAAAAACTATCACTCCGAGCAGCTGATTGTTTTCCCCCTCCCTCCAGGCAAGGTGACTGCACGCAGATCTCAGGAGAGTACCAGAAAACCAGCACCCCTGGCAAATACACCTACTATAACCCCAGTAAGTTGGGCTCGCTGCCCACCTGCTCGGCCCCAAGAGCTGCGGCGTGGATGGGTGATGGGAACCAGCGCCGGGCACAGCCAGCGGCTGGGGAAGGGGTTTAGGAGAGCAGGGCTCAGAAGGCACTCCACAGTTTGGGTCATTTCCAACCAAAGTGTGAAGTTGGGGGAAAGGGGCTGTTTTAGCGCTGTCCCTGCATAGGCATGGGACTATGAGACGTTCCAGAAGATCCCTCCTGTCCCCAAGGTCCCAAGCTGGGGCAGGCTCCCACCAGCCACGTTTCAGGAGCATTGGTGGTATCGCAGTTGTCCGCAACCCTTGGTTTCCAATCCCCTTGACTAAGAAGAGGCTGGTGAGCCTAAAGGGAGTCAGGGTTGTATCAGAGTCTGCTCCCCAAAAATCAGCTATTTTCTTGAATTAGCTGCCTGAGTTCAGCCCCCAGCTCTGGGGCTGTCTTACACTGCCCCAGTGCTCCCTGAGGGGCAGGAATGACGTCCCCTGTGTCTCTGTCTCACCCAGAATGGGATGTGTCTATCCGGTCCTATGTGCTCCGCACCAACTATGAAGAATACGCTGTCATTCTGATGAAGAAGAAAAGTAGTTTTGGCCCAACCACCACCCTGAAGCTGTACGGTACATCTGGCTACATTTGTGGGCAAGCAGGCTCTGGGGTGGGCCAATGCAGCTCAGAAACACCACCAAAGGTGGTGCTCCCTTGGCCGTGGGGGACCTGACCATGGCTTTGGAAGTGGACCAGCTCGTCTTTGGCACTGCAGAGGTTGAGTCTTATGGCTCAGCTTAGAGCCACATCACACAATGAACATCCAAACCAGCCTGTTGTTTGTGATGAAGGTGGCACTATCTGCCTGGAAGAAACCCAGGCCCTGAAGTGGCAGGAGATGCTATCTTTCATGATTGAGAGATGTTAAAACCACTTTGTCCAAGGCCTTGGTCAAGGCTGGTCAAGAATAATGGAGAAAGGTTGGGTAGGACCGGGAAGCTGTTATTGGGCCTGCCTGCAGCTGCCTGAGCTCTGCGGGTCAGTGGGTGGTTGGGGGGCTGCATGCAGACCCCCTCCTATGCTCACAGCCTGTTCCCTTGCCCAGGGAGGAGCCCAGAGCTGCGGGAGGATCTCATTGAGGCTTTCCAGCAGCTGGCTTTGGAGATAGGCATCCCCATGGACTCCATCTTCATCCTGGCCAACAGAGGTAACCTACCACGAGGCATGCGCCTCTCCCACTGCCTGTCCCCCCGGCATGCCGGTGCACTGGGGCTGCTCCTTCTTGGTGTGTGAGGGTGGGGAGAAGGGGGGCAGTCAGGATGGAGGGAGAAGAGGCAAAGGCTTTGGTAGGATGGGATGGGAAGGAGACAAGACCACGTATCAGTCAGGCTTCCACCAGCTTCCAGTCGGTGGGGTCCTTGCTGGGCTGTCAGGTCAATGCACCCCACAACACTGTGCTAGGATGAGGGCGCAGGACACTCAGGGACACTCACGACTGCTCCCCATGGCTGGGTGCTCCCAGGACCTGAGGACCTCCTTGGTCAGCCCAGGGGCCAGAAAGTGCTAGCATGATGCAGGTGGGTGTGGGGATTGTAGGGTGATGCTCCTGCGAGTGGGAGGTGTAAAGCAGCAAGAGGGGAAGAATGCTAGGGTGAAACTGGGAGGGCATCCCCTTCCCCGGGGTCCCGTGTGTGCATGGTGCAGGACCACGGTGAGATGAGTTTGTCAGGACACCACGCCTCTCACACTGCTGATCTTCTCTCCTGTCATCTGGGCCAGGTGAATGTGTCCCCCAGGAGACTGCAACTGCCCCCCAGGTGAGTGGTCCACCCGGGACCTCCTGAGATGGATCAAGGCTGGGGACATCCCCTCCAAGCCAAACCTACTGGAGACCTGGTGTCCGGGGACCAGGTTCCGTGGGCAGGACACGTTTGGGCAGCGGATCCACTGACTGCCCTGGGAGAAGATCTTTCATCTCCACTGATGGGCTTTGCCTGTGAGGACAGGGGCACAGACATGCACAGGCTGCAGGCTGACGGTCCCAGGGGCCAAGTGGGCACCAGGGCTCGTTTCCAAGTGGAAGGCAATGGCCCTTTCCTACTCTGATTTTTTCACAGGGTGAAAGTTGTCACATGTGGAGCCTGGTGTGTCCTTGCTCCTTGCCTGGCTGAGGGCTCCCCAGCCAGGCTGTGGACTCCCCCTCCAGGGATGGGGAGGCAGCTCAGTGCCCCACTGATCCTTTGGGTACAGTCACCTAGCACCTCCCGATCTCGCAGGGTTGAGTTTAGAAGGATTTTCAAGAGGCAATGGGACTTCCATAGGAGAAACAGCCCAGTTGACTTCAGAGCAGGTAACACATCTGGAGGACACACCACCCTGCATCAGCGGGAGGAGAGATACACCCCCAGCCCAGCACACGGCGTGACTGGGGCACTTTGGGTGTCTTTATCCAAAATACACGATCCTGGTGCCAACCCAGGATGAGCACTGGGCTGGGAAGACCCTAAGATGTGGAGGGATCACAGCCTGTTGACCCAAGATCAATGACTGGAGACGTGCTGGGAGCATCGAGGAGGGCTGGAGCCTGCACAGGCTGCAGCATCCAGCAGAGCTGCCCCTGACATAGCCCATCCCGGGGGCAACGCGGGTCCAGGGGCGATGGGGTGGGCAGCAGGTCCCATGGGCAGGAGCTGATGGCAGCTCTGTGCTTCCTTCCCTGTGCAGAGGGCGCGGAGAGCAGTCCTGCCCCCCGAGGAGGGCTCGGCCGCGGGACCCCTGCCCCCTTACATCGGCAATAAGGAAGGTACGTCCCGGGGGAGGGGGGCTGCATCAGGCGTCCCCCTGCCCTGCATCCCCGTTTGCCTGTGACAGCCCATGCCGCGCTTGTCCGCAGACTCATGCCGGCTGAGCCGGGACCCCGGGCCCTGCAGTGGGATGCTCTCCCGCTTCTTCTACAACTCCTCCTCCATGGCCTGTGAAACCTTCCTCTATGGTGGCTGTCTGGGCAACGGCAACAACTTCTACTCGGAGAAGGAGTGCCTGCAGGCGTGCCGGACGGAGGGTGAGTGGGGTGACCAGGAGACATCCTAGTGGGGCGAGGGCACGGGAGGTGCCTTTGCTGAGGCATCAGAGGGAATCTGAGAGTGGCCTCGAACCCCACGTGTCCGGCATCCATGTGGGAGGTGTGGGGGGCCCTGAACCCCCTGCCCTCAGAGCAGCCCCCTGTCCCCGCAGCTGCCTGCAGGCTGCCCATCGTCCAGGGTCCCTGCCAGAAGCCAGTGACACGCTGGGCCTTTGACGCGGCTCAGGGCAAGTGCATCACGTTCAGCTATGGAGGCTGCAAGGGCAACGGGAACCAGTTCTACTCAGAGAAGGAGTGCAAGGAGTACTGCGGGGCTCCTCCGCTGGCAGGTACCCCCACCCTGCCTGCACCCTGCCCGCACCGCACTGCGCTGTGCCAGGGGAGCCGAGGCAGCAGCCTGTACCATCTCCCGTCCTGCTCTGGGCTGGGTGTGCTGGGTCTGCCTGGGGTCGGAACGGGGCTGTCCTGGATCTGGGATCGGTCTTGGGATGGGTCTGTCCTGGATCTGCATGGGTTCAGGATGGGATCTGTCCTGGGTCCGGGATAAGCCTGGGGTGGGTTTGTCATGGGTCCAGGATGAGTCTGGGATGGTTTTGTGCTGTGCCTGGGATGGGTCTGTCCTGGGTTGGGGACTCTGACAGACTGAGGAATATGGTCATTAATCTACAGACAGTATCGCACAGCAGGGTACGTATAGGCTGCAGATGTACTGAGGCCACGACTGAACTTCAAAACGGTCTTGATAAAAGGGGAAACAGCCCCGAGCAGGATGGGGTGCAGTGGGGAGCAGTGGAGATGCCAGCCCCCAGGCAGGGGATGCCAGTGAGGGAAGAGTGGCTGAAAGATTTGGGGGGGGTGTAGGAACACTGACACCAAATAAGAACCAAAACGGGGCCCCTGCCAGGGGTCTACCCTCTGTGCGACGCCTGCCAGACCCTCCAGCTCTAGTCAGCACAGGGGTTTCCATATTGAACCTCCTTGGGAGACACAATGGGCACCGCTTACCCCTCGGGTGAACGGACAAGCAGGTTTTCAGGAGTGTGTCAGGGGAAATCTTCCCGTAGAGAGGGGGGAACTCAGGGGTGTTCAGCCACAGCCTGCTCCCAGCGGGGCAGGAGCTAGGGGCTTACCATGCCCCACGGATGGGAGGTGGGGCCAGAGTAACATGTCTTAGGGCAGAACCCATCTTTTATTATCCCTGTCACCAATATAAAGTGCATTAACGCCACCATGGCAAGTGGTGGGACACAAAGTGACATCCCAAGACAGCACGGGGGTGCACGAAGGGTCTAGACTGCTTCCCCCCATCACCGACGGCAGGGACAAATTGGGAAGGAGCAACCATCGCCATCTGACTGTGGGGCGAGGGGGGTCTGTGGGTCTGTCCGTCACCCTGTGCATCTCTCCGCTTGCAGAGGACGAGGAGTTCCTGCATCTGTCAAACTGACGCGGGCGGAGAATGAGCTGCCGGCGCCCAGCACCGGGGCCCCGCAGGAGGGGGCCGGCAGCTGCCAGGAGCGCAGGGGATGTCGCCAACAGGAAAAGTCTGTG